AGCCCTCTACTGTTCAATGTTTCTATCCCAAAATCCTTTGCAAATCCAATATGGAGTTAACAAATTTCTTCCCTATATATGAACATTCCAAAGGTTAAGAGTTCAGAAAAAGTATATGTACTTGCAAATATTCAGTTGTGCAGTTGTACTAAAAATATTCACTGAGAATTGACGTCGTATCATAGCAACTATAGACAAAAAATAAAAAACACTCATAAATATGTAATAACCTATACAGGCATAAGCATGTAACCATGACAACTAACATAATCCGTCTCACCTTCTGACAGGCTAGGACATCACGTAACTTGACAATATCTAAACGTTCATTTTGCGGGATTCCCAACATATCCTGTAATTGTCGCCTACTGTGCCGCATTCCTGGCATCGTGTCATTATCATTCCAGAGATTTTTATTAATTGCTGCAAATCTATTGCAGAAATAAGCATTTGGATAGAGAATCTCATCAGTTGAGGATGCAACAAGAATTGAGACTGGATCTGAAAATGAAAAGGCTTGTCATAGTTATTCAACGAAGTGATGTTTCTGCTTATTATTAAAAATAAAAATATTATGATTCAAATAATCAAAAAACAGAGATAAGAACACTTTCCCGGGAAGCTAACTCAGTAGCCAATCAGTGAACAGTACAGGTATCGAAAATTCAGATTCATAAACCCCATAAAAGTAGCCTATTGGTAGGTACTATGTCTAATGAACTTTTCATATGCAAGAGATTTTTTCACACAAAAATGCCAAATGTTGTCAAATTTTGTTGGTAGATCCATTGTCCTAAAATTTAACTAAACACCTCATTTTGGAAATATGGTTCTTTTTTTTTTTAGGTCAGGGCTTGCTTCAAGATGGCCACCTTCATATATTGAATATAATTAGCCGTAATTATTTTATTATCATATGCCATCTGAATGATTTACTTAAAGAAACTATGAATGCATTGAAGACACGTAGCCTTGACAACGACAGGCTTTAATTTTACTATTTTGCAGAATATGACAAAAATAGTGTTAAAATAACAGTACAACTTACCTTTCTTTTTTATATGATTTCCAAACATACCTGCTAGAACACAGGCAGCTGATTCAATTGTACGATTCACATTTGTACTTCTAATACTAGAAAAAAAAATATTGAGGAAATTTTGTCAGTTGATCGTCACGTTTCTCTGTCTTGGGCCGACTGCTCCCATGTGCTGTGACTGATATTACAAACCTTCAGTACGGCTTTTAGCGTGTCCCAGAAACGCTTTGGGAGTGTTTTCCTTGCTGTAGCTCGCTTAGATATAGCTATTTATCATGTCCCCATCATATAACATGAATTTGTTATTTCAAATGTACTTAGTTATAAGTCATGAGATGAGCTGTCCATTTTCAACATGAAATAGACAATCAAATGCACCACAACTGACATGTATAAGTATACCATTGTATCTATTATGTTTGAAAATGGTTTCCTTAATACATATACCGTAGTTGTCCGATTATAAGCCTGCCCTCCAAATTTATAGTATTTTACAACAAGTCATTTATCCGATTATATTTTGATTGGTTAATTAGCGATTTAGGTCAACTTGTGCAAGATAAAGAACATGGCAGATACTTGACAGCATCGAGCATTTGCTTACGATGAAACTAACTTGAATTTTCATTTGCATTTAATTTACAATTTAAAGAATTTATTTTTTTGTACGTTATTATAATCACTACTGAGTTCAACAATCTAACAATTTTGAAACACAGCATGAACGGATTGCGCAACCGTGATCATTTGCTGCTACGCAATGCAGTTGTGTTTATGAATAAATTAGCATAAATTATCGCTCAAGAGAAGTGCTAAAATCTGAAATTAACATGTTTCGAGGCAGTTTTTCAAAAGATAGTAAAATATGCTAGTTTGAATTCAATCAGAAACTTAAACTAAAATCTATTTCTATATATAACCTGTTATAAGTGTTATATATGTGTTGGTTCAGGCATGTATAAGATATGGCACCGTGGAACTGCATGATGACCACCAGTCAGCCATTTTTGAATTTGATGATAACAAAATCCATGTCTGATATGATGTATGATGTATGTATGCAGATTGAACTTGATTAGTTCAGACATATTGATGATGTGGAATGGCAACTGCATTTTTTAAAACAGAATGGTACCAGTTGTCCATATTGAATCTGATTTGTAAAAACAAACTAAATGTAAATTGTGGATCAAGGTCCAATAATATTCAATGTAACAATTAATTTATGCACAACCAGGATCTGTTTCTTAACCTTTTCACCCCCAGAACTTCTCACCCCAATTTTTTCTGCATTTTTTTTTCTTGTATTCTTCAATATCTCAATATCTTTGGAAAGGAACCCTAATTTTGGAGCCAACAGACAAAATTTGAGTCAATTTCACACACAAAATTTGACCAATTTTATCCTGATCTTTTGAAGGAAAGTGCAGACTATAAACAGGACTATTTTGTGAATTTTAATGAAAAAAGGGAACTGGTGGTGAAAAGGTTAACACTATCCAGAATTAGATTGTGATATGAATACATACTGTGGAATACTTTATTTTTGCTGGAATAAATTTTCGCTGAAAAGGCTTTTTGGGCGTTTTGCTTGGAATTTATTTTCACTGATTTTTGATGAGCTTAATGTGAAATATAGGAAAAAAGTATATTCGCTGGATTTTATTTTCACGGAATCATCCCTTCAGTGAAAATAGCGAAAATAAAGTATTCTACAGTATGCATATTTATCACATGGTGTATGGTGTATATGTGAAGTAGATATACAGTCATTACCGGTAGGTCATACTTACTAGATATGTTCTGGTGTAAACTTTGGATCAAGAAACTGTAATGTATCAATATAATATTTCTTGTAAACTCCACCCAAGGCATGCATTTGTTGTTTGCCTTTTGTTGTCAACTGACCAGCAAATGTTCCACCCTGTATCGAATATAGAGTATTAATTCATTCTGAAAAAAAATACTTTTTTACGGTGTTAGAAGTCTTTAGATGAAGAACTGCTGCTTGACGATTGTAGTAGTGTATTTTAACATTAATAAATTCAAACAATAAACAACTTTTTTAATTCCATTGATCTTAATGGAATTTTTTTTACATCAGTATATTACATTCTCACATAGTAGTATTTTTGTCACAGAGAGCTTACTTTTGAACTGCCATAGAGGGCATACTTTTATTGAGTTGTCATGAATGGCTTTGACTGGTGTTAAGTGTCATGGCGCACCAAGCCACAAGAGGCTGGCGGCTCGTATTACAGACACGTTTATGCAGAATGGAACTTGGAATGTTTTCAAATTACGTCCAGAATCTAGGCCCAGTGATACAATATGGCAATTACTAATTACCTGCATCTTACTTGCCATTCGCAAAGAATGCCAGGAACCAGCGAACGGAGGGCAAACTTTTATTGAGTTGCCATAGAGGGCTTGGCTAGTTCCCGCCTCAAGTGTAATGACGAACCAAGCCACATGTGTTATTATTTGCCATAGAGGGCATACTTTTATTGTGTTATTACTTGCCATAGAGGGCATACTTTTATTGTGTTATTACTTGCCATAGAGGGCATACTTTTATTGTGTTATTACTTGCCATAGAGGGCATACTTTTATTGTGTTATTACTTGCCATAGAGGGCATACTTTTATTGTGTTATTACTTGCCATAGAGGGCATACTTTTATTGTGTTATTACTTGCCATAGAGGGCATACTTTTATTGTGTTATTACTTGCCATAGAGGGCATACTTTTATTGTGTTATTACTTGCCATAGAGGGCATACTTTTATTGTGTTATTACTTGCCATAGAGGGCATACTTTTATTGTGTTATTACTTGCCATAGAGGGCATACTTTTATTGTGTTATTACTTGCCATAGAGGGCATACTTTTATTGAATCAAAATGTGAATAAAAAAGTTGATATGTGATGACAGTTTAAATTTGGTGTCCTTACCTTAAACAAAACTTCTCTGTAAACAGCATCAAGACGACTTTCAGGCATGGCACCACCATCAAGACCTTTTACAACATAATGAGCTAATAAACCTTCTCCTCCAGAAAACAAAGTCTCCTTGTCCCATACTTGCTGTACGACAACAAAATTACAGACATTAAATTTCATAGTGGATTTATCTAAGATTACCTTTTAGACAACATTCTTCAAGTACAAACAGCTCTGCTAAATGCAAAGAACGTTCTTCTATTGCCATTAGTGCAAGCTAAAAGCAGAGATTGACGAAACCACTTTCTTCTACAAAAGTACTTTATTTTTTTTTATTAAATGGCTGCTATTGGTTTTTTTCCACAAACTCAATATTTTATCTTTCACCCTCTTTCATTATGTTATCAATTGTTAGATGAAAGTGCAGTAAAAGTGAGTGGTTAGCGTCTTTGCAGCCAACCACAATCTTCTTTAAATATATACCGCTGTATATTGTTACTTTGAGATGTATTTCTGTTAGAGCATTTTGAAACATAGTTCTGTACCTTGAATTTCCGTGATGAAAGTGTAAATGATAGGAATTTGTTAATATCTGCTGTTAACCTAACCATTGTGCTAAAACAGAAACATTCAAAATCTTCGCTTCTTGTGATTTTTTTGGAACACATTACCATTGATTATTGGACTAGAATAGCCAAACGCAATTGTTCCTTGTTCTCCCTCACCAATCCAAAAACAGATATTTAATTCCACTGACACATGTGCTTCATGTAGAAATTACCATCCTTTCCATTCCAGCAAGATCGCACCCTCTGCAATGTTTCTTAAGTGGATAATGAATTAATTTTTTTTCGAAAAGTGTAGACCTGAAGGTGTGCTACAGGCTGTTTACCGGTAGCTATTACAGCAAGTATTGGGGCAGCTAGCGAATTGGCTTACTGGTTTGGTTTTGACTGAACTGTTGGCTTTCGAATCACGCTGGCACCGTGCTGTGGTCACGCCCACTCTTGGTGAATCTATATAACAGTAGGGGATCATCATACTTTAGTTGGATGGCGATTTCGCTTTCAAATATACAAGGGAAAGTGTTCTATTTTCTTCGTGTGTATAATGAGGTGTTCGTATACAAGGAATTGTCCACGCAAAAACAATGAATGAAGTCGAATTTTATTAGCGGTTGGTTTACCCCAACAAATCATTTAGATTTATTGGCGATCCGCTCCGCTAGGATTGCCCTTATAATCACTTTTGTCATTTTGTGTGTCTGTGTGTGTACATTTCCAGTATTTTCACGTATGATGTCTTCTGTGATTTTTTTGGCTCGGCCGATTTCGTTCAAACTTGGCAGGTAGGTCACACCTTCACCTTAGATATTAGGAAAAATTTGAAAAAAAATTTTGGCCCACCATTGCCATAGCAACAGCCAAAAAACAGATTTTTGGATAGCTTCGCACCAAATGTATCTCCTCCTACAAATTTGGGATAAAACACTTCAGACATAGCTCATTCTACTCAGCTTGAGTGTGGGCACAAAGTTACTATTTAAATTTTTGATATCTGTTTTCATTACCGAGAAATTTGACCCCAAAGTTGGGGTAACTTTTCACTAGCAACGGCTTTTAACTCCTCTGTGGATTTTTTCGGCTCCACTGGTTTTGTTCGTGCTGTCACTAATTGGAAACAAATCCTGGCCCACCACTGCTATTGCAACATCCAAAAACTGATTTTTGAATACTTTCGCCCCAAATGTATTAGCTCCTACCACTTTTGTACACAGTCAGCTGGCATCGGTGTAGCCTG